AAACTAATTTTACATATTAGTAAAGACCAGATTAAATTGAGAATGGTCTGATGGTGAAAATATGATCGCTTGAGAGAACAGCTGTGCAGCCTGAGGCAAGGAACAGAGCGCAAGCCTTTTCAAATCATCAGTATCCTGTAGTCGCATCATGCAGCCCATATATGTTTTGATTTCTAAGACATTCTCTAAGGTTTGTATCATTCACAACTAAAGTTGCCAAATAACTCTAAATCTAGCTGGTAGGACCTGTTTCAAATGATCACTTTTACGCTCAACATAGCCACTTCATATGTGCACTCGCTCCTGAATGGGAAAAATATCCTTTCTATTTTATTCAGCTAAGTTAAATTTATATTCTTCTTACTATAAAATCATATTATATAAAATAATGGCACTTATAAGCATATCTTGTCAGCTAAATGAACTAGCCTACAGCCTATGGCATGGAGCATAGCCAGATAACATACAGTAAGTAGGCCAACTCATATTCTGTTCTTCGGAAATACATTTTCTTCATATCGTAATGTCTCTTTAGACCTGCCTAAAATAAATAACGGATGTATTGTGGTGTTGTGTATTACATTGATTTATTAGACTTTTCTAAATGTAATGTTCCAGAGGCATCAGAGGCTTGTATGTGTGGAGGCCAGGAGATGCTAAACGTGTTTATGTTAATTCATGGTAATTACCGTGAGACCGGCAGTATTTTGCATGACAATAACCGGCTGACAAATGTTCATGACCTCCACAGCCCTAACTACAGTACTGTGTATTTATGACAGACTACAGTACTCTGTAGTATAACAGACTGCAGTACTCTGTAGTATAACAGACTGCAGTACTCTGTAGTATAACAGACTGCAGTACTCTGTAGTATAACAGACTGCAGTACTCTGTAGTATAACAGACTGCAGTACTCTGTAGTATAACAGACTGCAGTACTCTGTAGTATAACAGACTGCAGTACTCTGTAGTATAACATACGGTAGTACTCTGTAGTATAACAGACGGCAGTACTCTGTAGTATAACAGACTGCAGTACTCTGTAGTATAACAGACGGCAGTACTCTGTAGTATAACTGACTGCAGTACTCTGTAGTATAACATACTGCAGTACTCTGTAGTATAACAGACTGCAGTACTCTGTAGTATAACAGACTGCAGTACTGTATCATTAAGACTGCTCATTAAGACCTAACTCTGTAATGATTAATTATCTCTGTCAGTTTATGGTAAGTAACACTTTCTACTGGCCCATCATTTATTCCTGTTCATCTCAAGCCTCAGCTAGGCCTCTCAACATGCATTATTCATAATAGACACAATTAGCTGAGGGAACAAACTAACCGCAGCACAGGAGTGTGTGTGCGTGTGTGTGTGTGTGTGTGTGTGTCCTTGCAAGCGTGTGTGTGTGTGCTTTTCAGCACAACACCATCATATACACACACGCACACACACGCACACCACACACACACACACACACACACACACACACACACACACACACACACACACACACACACACACACACACACTCACGCACACATTACAGCATCAGAGAGTAGTTTGAGCACAACAGGACACCTCACTGTACTATTACAATTACAGCACCTCATCCTCTCACGCTTTACTTCACATGCTTTACTAGCCTGTTCAACCTCTCTTTCGTAACGTCTGAGATCCCCAGAGATTGGAAAGCTGCCGCGGTCATCCCCCTCTTCGAAGGGGGTGACACTCTAGATCCAAACCGTTACAGACCTATATCCATCCTGCCCTGCCTTTCGAAAGTTTTTGAAAGCCAAGTTAACAAACAGATCACAGACCATTTCGAATCCCACTGTACCTGCTCCGCTATGCAATCCGGTTTCCGAGCTGGTCATGGGTGCACTTCAGCCACGCTCAAGGTCCTAAACAATATTATAACCGCGATCGATAATAGACAGTACTCTGCAGCCGTCTTCATCGACCTGGCCAAGGCTTTCGACTCTGTCAACCACCGCATTTATTGGCAGACTAAATAGCCTTGGTTTCTCAAATTACTGCCTCGCCTGGTTCACCAACCACTTCTCAGATAGAGTTAAATGTGTCAAATCGGAGGGCCTGTTGTCTGGACCTATTGCAGTCTCTATGGGGGTGCCACAGGGTTCAATTCTCGGGCCGACTCTTTTCTCTGTGTATATCAATGATGTCGCTCTTGCTGCTGGTGACTCTCAGATCCACCTCTACGCAGACGGCACCATTTTGTATACATCTGGCCCTTCATTGGACACTGTGTTAACAAACCTCCAAACAAGCTTCACTGCCATACAACACTCCTTCCGTAGCCTCCAACTGCTCCTAAACACTAGTAAAACTAAATGCATGCTCTTCAATCGAACGCTGCTGGCACCCGCCCACCCGACTAGAATCACTACTCTCGGCAGGTCTGACCTAGAGTATGTGGACAACTACAAATACCTAGGTGTCTGGTTAGACTGTAAACTATCCTTCCAGACTCACATTAAGCATCTCCAATCCAAAGTTAAATCTAGAATCGGCTTCCTATTTCAAACAAAGCCTCCTTCACTCATGCTGCCAAACATGCCCTCGTTAAACTGACTATCCTACCGATCCTTGATTTCGGCGATGTAATTTACAAAATAGCCTCCAACACTCTACTCAGCAAATTGGATGTAGTCTATCACAGTGCCATCCGTTTTGTCACCAAAGCCCCATATACTACCCACCACTGTGACCTGTACACTCTTGTTGGCTGGTCCTCACTACATATTCGTCGCCAAACCCACTGGCTCCAGGTCATCTATAAATCACTGCTAGGCAAATCCCCGCCTTATCTTAGCTCATTGGTCACCATAGCAACACCCACCCGTAGTATGCGGTCCAGCAGGTATATCTCACTGGTCATCCCCAAAGCCAACACCTCCTTTGGCCGCCATTCGTTCCTGTTCTCTGCTGCCAATGACTGGAACGAACTGCAAAAATCTATGAAGCTGGAGACTCTTATCTCCCTCACTAACTTTAAGCATCAGTTGTCAGAGCACCTTACTGATCACTGCACCTGTACACAGCCCATCTGAAATTAGCCCACCCAATTACCTCATCCCCATATTGTTATTTATTTTGCTCATTTGCATCATCTCTTGCACATCTATCATTCCAGTGGTAATACTAAATTGTAATTATTTTGCACTATGGCCTATTTATTGCCTTACCTCCATAACTTGCTACATTTGCACACACTGTATATATATTTTCTGTTGTATTTTTGACTATGTTTTGTTTTACCCCATATGTAATTCTGTGTTGTTGTTTTTTATCGCACTGCTTTGCTTTATCTTGGCCAGGTCGCAATTGTAAATGAGAACTTGTTCTCAACTGGCCTAACCTGGTTAAATAAAGGTGAAATAAATAAATATAAAAAACATGCTTTACTTCACATGAAATTAAAGTAAATACGGTGACTTTGTTCTGTTTTTCTTTCCCTGTACATACAGGCAAGTGTTTCTGTTGTGTCACACTGAGAGGAAGTAGAGGCGACTGACTGCCGTGAGAGCCAGTCATAATAGAGAGACAGGCAAAAAAAAGGAAAAGAGACAGAGAGAGAGAGAGACAGACAAAGAGACGGAGAGAGAGAGGGAGAGAGAGAGAGAGAGAGAGAGAGAGAGAGAGAGAGCGAGAGAGAGAGTGGGTATTAATTAACTGGCTGTAATTAAACTCAATGAGGATAGTTTCCTGTTCCACTTTACAAGACAGATGAGCTGAGAGCTCCCAGTCAGCATCCAGCCATTGTATTGTTTGTATATCGTTGTATTTTAAATTAGTGTATCAGTGTTTTGTTACTTGCTGTGTTTATCTGCTGCTGAGTGTCTACAAGATACAAGAGAGGAGAGGAGAGAGAGGAGGGAGAGGATGGAGAGAGAGGAAAGAGGAGAGAGAGGAGCAGAGAGAGAGGAAGCACGGAGAGAAGAGGAGAGGAGAGAGGAGGGAGAGAGAGGAGAGGGGAGACAGGAGAGGAGGAGAGAGAGGATAGGAGAGAGGAAAGGAGAGGAGAGAGAGGAAAGAGGAGAGAGAGGAGAGGAGAGGAGAGGAGAGGAGAGGAGAGGACGAGGAGATTGGGAGAGGAGAGGAGGGAGAGGCGAGGAGAGGAGAGAGAGGAAGAGGAGAGGAGAGGAGAGGAGAGTGAGGAGAGGAGAGGAGAGGCAAGACGAACAGGAGAGGAGGAGGAGAGGAGAGCGAAGGAGGAAGAGAGGAGGAGAGGATGGACGAGGAGGCGAGAGCGCGAGGAGTAGAGAGGAGAGAGAAGAGATGAGAGCGAGAGAGGAAAGAGAGGAGGAAGGAGAGGAGAGGAGAGGAACATGCAGAGGAGGGAGAGGAGAGGAGAGAGAGGAGAGGAGGAGAGAGGATGAGGGAGGAAAGGAGTGAGAGAGGAGAGGAGAGAGAGGCAGGAGAGAGGATAGAGGAGAGGACGATGAGCAGGAGAGGAGAGGAGAGGAGAGGAGAGGAGAGGAGAGGAAGGGAGGAGGGAGAGGAGAGATCGAGGACGACGGAGAGGAGGAGAGGAGAAGCATGAGGAGGACGAGAGAGGAGAGGACATAGGATTCGAGAGAGGATACGGAGAGAGAGAGAGGAAAAGAGAGGAGAGAGAGGAGAGAGGAAAGAGAGGAGAGAGAGACGAAGAGAGGAGAGAGAGAGGAGTGAGAGGAGAGAGAGGGGAGGGAGGAGAGGAGAGGAGAGGAGAGGAGAGGAGAGGAGAGGGAGAGGAGAGGAGAGGCAGAGAGAGAGGAGGCCGCCGAGAGAGGAAGAGGAGAGGAGAGGAGAGGAAAGAGGAGAGGATGAGGAAGGATCGAGAGAGGAGAGGGAGATAAGAGGAAGAGAGGAGTGAGAGGACGAGGAGAGGAGCGGAGAGGAGAAGGAGGAGAGGAGAGAGGAGAGGAGAGGAGAGGAGAAAGAGGAGACAAGAAGAGAGGACAGGGAGAGGAGAGGAGAGGAGAGAGAGTGGAATGAGAGGAGAGACAGGAGAGAGAGGAGAGGAGGAAGAGAGAGGAGAGGACAGAGAGGAGAGGAATGTCGGGCTGCTTTCTTACTAACTGCATAAAAGTTTATGATTATTTTGTCACAAACCAACTCTCTCTCCATATCTCTCTTTCCCCCTTCCCTCATTCTCTGTCCTCTTCTAGTTTGGGAGAACAGAGGTGATTGACAACACTCTAAACCCAGACTTTGTCAGGAAGTACATCCTGGACTACTTCTTTGAGGAGAAGCAGAATCTACGCTTTGACGTGTGAGTAGTTATTCTCTTGATTATGGTCCTCGAGGGAATCAAAAGGCATAGGCAGACAGGTAGGGAGGGTGTGTTAGTTTTACATGTGATGTGCCCAACCAACCCTTCCTTTCCATCCTCCTATCTTTCTATTGATATATCTATATATCCTCTCTATTAGTTTCCTTAATCTCTCCCCGCCATTTGCTCCGATACTCTATCCTTCTCTCTTTCCCTTATAGCACTACTTGCTACCTTCGAATTCACCAACCGCATCCATATCTCTCCTGTGGTGTAAATAAAATCATTAATCAGTATTCTGCCCTGTCTTGATTGTCATGTGTTGTTGAGATTAGGAGGAAGTGAGACAGGTATAAAAGAATGATCAGTGGATTTTTAGACTTTCACTCTGCACACCACTGTCTGGTAAGATCCCAGCAGAGTAAATAAAAGCGAATTACCAGTGCCTACATGAATCCTCTATCATCCTCAGAAGAAGAAGAGAAGCTGAAGAAGAAGAAGAAAGAAGAAGAGAGACTAAAGAATGAAAAGAAGAAAGTAAACAAAGAGAAAGAAAGAAGAAGAAGAAGAAGAAGAAAGGAAGAAAGGAAGAAGGAAGAAGCAAGATGCAAAGAAGAAGAAAAGCAGCAAGAAGAAAGAAGAAGAAAGAAGAAGGAAGAAGGGAAGAAGAAGAAAAGATAGGAAGAAGAAGAAAAGAAAGAAGAAAAGGAAGTTTTTTCCACCTCCCTCTCCTCCATGTCCCTCCTCCTCCTCCTCTCACTCATCCCTAAACTCCAGCAGCCTCCTCCCTCCTCATCTCCTCCATCCTCCCTCTCCTCTCCCTCCTCCTCCTCCCTCCCCTCCTTCCACCGTCTCCTCCCTCATCATCCCTGCCCTCTCCCTCCTCCTCCTACCCCTACTCCTCCTCTTCTGGAACAGCCCCTCTCGTCGTCTTGGAATAGGCTCAATTCAGAGTGCAGCAGAGGTGACACTTTTATTAAGAGGCTTTGAGAACGGAGACAGAATCATTTCCTTACTCCCTTAACTCCCTCTGTCTACCCTCAGCGCACCTCAACAAGGGGAAAGATATGTATAAGAACATAAACATAGTTATGTTAACCTATCTTTTGCTTTTAACCGTGTAGAGACAAAGGTCCTAATGGACGTCAGTAGCTAGCTACATATCCACCGCCACAGACTCCCTCTGTACATATCCAGCCTCTGTAGCTCTGTAATAGTAAGCTGTATCCTGTTCATTCAGCTCTGTAGCCTCTGTCATCAGTTTCTGTAGGCTTGTCATCAGTCTTTCTGTTATCTCGTCATCAGTCATCTGTCGCTCTGTCATCAGTCCTCTGTAGTCTGGTCACAGTCTCTGTATCTCTGTCATCAGTTTCATCTGTTATCTCTGTCATCAGTCTTCTGTAGCTCTGTCATCAGTCTTCTGTAGCTCTGTATTTAGTCCTCTGTAGCTCTGTATTTAGTCCTTTGTAGCTCTGTCATCAGTCCTCTGTAGTCTGTACATAAGTGCTTCTGTAGCTCTGTCATTCAAGTCTTCGTTGAGCTCTGGTCATCAGTGCCTCGTAGCTCTGTCATCAGTCTCTGTAGCTATGTCAATCAGTATACTGTAGCTCTGTATGTCGTCCTCTGTAGCTCTGTATTAGTCCTGGCTAGCTTGTCATCAGTCCTCTGTAGCTCTGTCATCAGTCTTATGTAGCTATGTCATCAGTCTTCTGTTAGCTCTGTAATAAGTCATCTGTAGCTGTCATCAGTCTTCTGTTTAGCTCTGTCATCAGTCCTCGTAGCTCTGTCAAAGTCTTCTGTAGCTATGTCATCAGTCTTCTGTAGCTCTGTCATCAGTCCTCTGTAGCTCTGTCATCAGTCTTCTGTAGCTCTGTCATCAGTCCTCTGTAGCTCTGTCATCAGTATTCTGTAGCTCTGTCATCCGTCTTCTGTAGCTCTGTCATCAGTCTTCTGTAGCTTTGTCATCAGTCCTCTGTAGCTCTGTCATCAGTCTTCTGTAGCTTTGTCATCAGTCCTCTGTAGCTCTGTCATCAGTCCTCTGTAGCTCTGTCATCAGTCCTCTGTATCTCTGTCATCAGTCTTCTGTAGCTCTGTCATCAGTCTTCTGTAGCTCTGTCATCAGTCTTCTGTAGCTCTGTCATCAGTCTTCTGTAGCTTTGTCATCATTCCTCTGTAGCTCTGTAGTTAGTCCTCAGTATCTTTGTAATTAGTCCTACTGTATGTAGCTCTGTAATTATTCCTCTGCTGAACGTCTCAGAGGATATACTGTGACTAAATAATTCATTTGGGTCCTTTACGTATACAGTACCTCCTCAGGAATGGGGGGGATGAGGAGGGGTGGACTTTTAGCCAAAGTTTATCACCGGCAGCAGCTGCTAAGATTTTTTTTTAAACGTTATTGTTTTAAAGTGAATGGGTGAGTGACAGCAGCCTAGTCTTGGACAATAGTGAAAGGAAAATAGACTTAATTCATGAAGTGTATAAGGATTAAGTGAAAAAAAATGGTTTTACCTGTTAAAAACATTTTCATTTCAATTTCAATTTAATATAAATTGACTTTTGGGTGGTCTTTCTGTCTGTCCAATTGTCATTGTATCAGGAATGATATCAAGCCACTTTGGTTCTATTTGTTAATGTTCAAACGCCAGTCAGTTAAGCCACAAATAGTTTTCTCTCCGGCTCCTGTCAGCTCTTGCCACTTTAATGTGTGTTTCTTTCTGATTTCAGATATGATATCGATTCCAAAAGTCCAGATCTGGCAAAGCATGTAAGTGAAAAAGTTATCACTCTGTGCTCATGCCTTCTAGTTGCTTGATTTTTACTTTGCCATCTATCCTCTATGAATGGAAACTTTTGTTTTTAAAATGGGAACTTTTATTTCGAAATGCATCCCATTCCTTATTTTTGTTTTATGCTAATCAAAATCCATGTCATCCTAAAGCACACATATACTGTTTGATGGAAATAGTGAATAATAGTGCCTTATTTCCCAAAGTTTCACGATGTGGCCTTGCTGTCTGTCCATGCACCTTTTCATTTGTATAATAAAGATGACATATTACTTTAAGTATTGATATTGAGTAGCTTTCATAAAAATACATAGATTTGGTTCATACTCATGACTTAATGAAGCATTGTGATTTGTCCACACCATTATCAAAGCTTGTCAAACCCATTTCCCTAACTTCTAGGCATGATGTATTGCACTCCAATGTTATTAGCAATGGACTCACAAGTAATGATGATGAGTGAATGCACAATGAGAATATATCTGCAGCCAATAGTTTGCAAAATACCAGAATATTCATCATTATTTCCACATTTGTCATGACTATATTTTATCATTTCGTGCTCCCTTTTGTACTACTTGCTCTCCTCTCACACAACACACAAAAAAATGTTTCGCTCTCTATCTCTTTATTTCTCTACCACCCTCTTCTTCCCTCTCTCCTGTTTTCTCTTGCCCTTGTTTTGATAACGGTGTTGTGTGGTTTGAGTCTTGTGCCTTCTGTTACATGATATGCTCTGTTATTGTTGTTGTCTATGCTGCTGCCTGGTGTACCCCTCCTCCTCCTCTTCCTCCTCCTCCTCCTCCTCTTCCTCCTTCTCCCTGGAAGCCCTCCGACATTGACGTACGTGTTTGACTCCTCTGACAAACTTTATGCTCATAACAATGCTTATAATAAAGCTTATAACACACTGTTTAACTCCGTCCTAACCACACCATCTGTCCTTGTTACCCCATCTCCCCCATCTCTCCCCCGTCTCCCCCGAACCCCCACTATCCTTCCTCTCCCTCCTTTCTCACCTGTCTCTCCCTGCTCCCCTGTTTCCCCGTTAACACCCCCTTCTCCGTCACGCCTCCCTCCTCCGTCTCTCCCGCAACCCCTGTCCCCCCCAGCAGGACTTCTTGGGGCAGGTGTTCTGTACTCTGGGAGAGATCGTAGGATCCCCCGCCAGTCGACTGGAGAAACCCCTGGGGTGAGTAGTGCTGCCCTTTATTGATTGGTTGATTGGTTGATTGGTTGATGAATTGGTTGATTGGTTGAGGCTGTGTGGCCCTGGGGTAAGTATAATTGGTCTTAAACTGAGACTCTCGTTGCCACGAGCAGCAGGATGAACCGCAGAATTTGCAGATGAAGATGATGCAAGATGATGCACTCACAGAGTTTCACAGAGTATCACAGAGTATCACAGAGTTTCACAGAGTATCACAGAGTATCACAGAGTTTCATAGAGTATCACAGAGTTTCACAGAGTATCACAGAGTATCACAGAGTTTCACAGAGTATCACAGAGTATTTGCTCATGTACATGGCTGCGCTTCAATCTGCTACAGTGTGATAGCTATGAGACCAAAACAGCAGAGAAGTTTAACCTCGCACTTAGTCTTAGCAGAAATAATATTGCTGTTCACTTCGTGTATCACCTGACTCTACCTTAAACTAAGCCTTGGTTCTGTTCCAATACCCACACATTATCACACCACTTAGTCTTAGAATTAAACATTGCATGTATATTTAGCATGCATGGCCCTCGTTCCATTGCTTCACCATCCCAGTGGCTCTTGGAGAGAGAGTTCCCTAGCAATCAACCACTTGGGTCAATCAACAGTAACACTGAAACAGGAAATGACCTCGCTCCGCCTCAGAGTTGAACTGTGTTCAGTCATGGAGCCAAATTGTACTTGCACCAGTTGCCCAAATTGCACTATTTCCTATACTGTATATATTCCCTATATAGTGCACTACTTGTGCACTATAAAGGGCATGGGAGACCATTTGGGATGCTGCCCTAGACTCTAGCCTTGGGATGATGATTAATATGTCTGTCGTCTATAGCCATCTGTGGAGTAATATGACTGTCGTCTATAGCCATCTGTGGAGTAATATGACTGTCGTCTATAGCCATCTGTGGAGTAATATGACTGTCGTCTATAGCCATCTGTGGAGTAATATGACTGTCGTCTATAGCCATCTGTGGAGTAATATGACTGTCGTCTATAGCCATCTGTGGAGTACTTTATGTGTTCAGATTAGACTGGTGTGTGTTGATGGCGCTAGTAATTGAACAGGACCAGGGGGCTTCCTGTATGTGTGGGTGCGCCTGCCTGCCTGCCTGCCTGCCTGCCTGCCTGCCTGCACTTACACTGTTACTGTCATTAGGGGAGCAATCTGCCATGCAGAGACACCTTCTAATAGACTGCCATGTAGAGTGGCTGGAAGCCAACATGAGAGACAGAGAGACACCCTCTTCTCATAGACACACACTGCCATGTAGAGTGGCTGGAAGCCAACATGAGAGACAGAGAGCATGACTAGGTATCCCCCTTTCATTTCTTTTCCTTTCCTTTCCAATGCTTTTTAAACTTTAGTAGTACATGTACATGTAAGAAAAACCAAGATGGCTACCTAGACAGTTTTTTCCCCCCTGGTAGCTAGTAATAGCTAGTGATAGTGATCCAAAATTATCTATATAATCTAGGGCTGTCCCCGACCCAAAAAAAATATTGGTCGAAATTTTAAAAACGTGTATTTTTCCCTATACAGACACCCCCATAATAAAATAAACTATATGTAGGCTACTGAGCTTGTCTGATGCTTTAAGCACACTGTGATTAAATAATTAAGACACACAAGAGGGAGCCAGAGATCCAGATAGCCTAACTAGCCGACTAGCCAGATAGCCTAACTAGCCGACTAGCCAGATAGCCTAACTAGCCGACTAGCCAGATAGCCGACTAGCCGACTAGCCAGATAGCCTAACTAGCTGACTAGCCAGATAGCCTAACTAGCTGACTAGCCAGATAGCCTAACTAGCCGACTAGCCAGATAGCCTAACTAGCCGACTAGCCAGATAGCCTAACTAGCCGACTAGCCAGATAGCCTAACTAGCCGACTAGCCAGATAGCCTAACTAGCCGACTAGCCAGATAGCCTAACTAGCCGACTAGCCAGATAGCCTAACTAGCCGACTAGCCAGATAGCCTAACTAGCCGACTAGCCAGATAGCCTAACCCTCCTCCTCCAGCTGCTGCAGACCTTAGCAGATTCTGCCATTAAGCTAATAGGCTACACCAGGGGGTAGGCAACCTTTTCCATTTGCCGTGCAAATGTATCTAAGTATTTCTACCGATCTGCGTGCCAGTTATGATTTTCATATGCACATTTTCGTGGAACAGTTTAATTTAATTTATAATAAAGTCTTTGTATTTCAAAATCAGTATCATGTGGTTAATCAAATTTTTAAAAAAAAGTAACTTCTATTGTCATTGCTAACTATGTAAAAATAGCCTACATAAAGCACAAAAATTAAAACATTGCAGCCTGGAGGTAGAAAATATTGTATTTTATGACGTTTCCACAGGATCAGAGCATGATATTGTTTTCCCCTTTCACGCCGAGTGGTTATTGAAAGAGCTGGAAAGATTTTTCAAATAGGCTACGTTGAGAAACTATTGTCATTCTCAATGGATGTAAAAACAGACTTTGTTTACTTGCTGCTTGAGGTGAAGAAAACTTTTCTTTGAGAAGGTCCACAGTGGTGGTAAGTTAAGACAATCAGAAATACTATCAGATCCCCAAATGTGCACATTTATAGGCCTACATTTGCACGCAGGCCAGGTAGCCTGGGCCTACTTCTATGCATAATCAGGTGCGCGTCCTTACTCAACATTGACAGGAGCGCTACAAACAAAAGACAATGAATAAATTGACAACTCGTAAGTGGAATGAAATAAACCAGATCGTGTTCCTCACAAGTGTAGCCTCGGTTGTGCGGTCCTCAAACAACGTGTCCACTCCGACAATGAGAACGATAAAATAATGAAATAATAATATATTGAATAAATTAACAGAAATTACCGTAACCAAACAAACATTGTAGATTTGAAATTATGGGAATTAACGGTAAATGTACTACTGGGGATACATCTGAGTAGAACAAGTTGTCAATCGATTATATTAGATCTGACCCCATTTAGTCAACTGGTCGATTGTTTTGGTCGATAGGCTGTTGGTCGTCTGAGATTTTTTTAGTCGAGCAGTCACAAATATATATATACATATTTTTATGGCACACGAGACACCTGTCTGATTCATGCCTGTCTCAGTGGACTAATCCATTGCGGAGGCACACCAGTGTCAGGAAGCAGGAAGTAGGAAGCAGGAAGTTTGGTATAGACGACTTAGCTACACGTTTTATATTTATACATTGTATACTTTTTAAACCTTTGTTTTAAGTGTTTTATTTCGGGACCATGGTGTTAGTGCTGTTCTTAACATACCGTGTTCGTCTGGATTTTACCGTCTCCTGGAGCTAACATTAGCAGGCTAGCCCTGGCTAGCTCTGACTAGCTAGGTTACTTGGCTGTCACCGGTAAAGCTTGTCTCACATCACGGTTGGCTCTTGTAGCCGGGACAGCTGTTTCTGACCTGAGTATAAGCATGTCAGACTCCTCTGTTTTGCAGTCGGATCCGGAGATGCACCAGTGGAGGCTGCTGAGGGGAGAACGGCTCATAATAATGGCCGGAACGGAGCAAATGGAATGGCATCAAACACCTGGAAACCGTGTGTTTGATGTATTTGATACCATTCCACTGATTCCGCTCCAGTCATTACCACGAGCCCGTTCTCCCCAATTAAGGTGCCACCAACCTCCTGTGATGTACACTTGTGATAAATGCAAACAGCGCCATGCCTCAAAGGAGCGGATCGTTGAGCTACTAGAGGAGAATAGGTTCCTAGGAGAGCGTCTCGCTCTGGCTGGACACTTCAAGACTGCATGCTGTTTTTGATGCGTCAATTCTAAATGGCCCGAGAGGAAAATCCAGGATGCTCTATGAGATTGGGTTCCTCTGCAGTAACTACTGAGGATACTACCTTGGATCACTTTCCCGTATTAACACATCCCACCAACGAGAACCGGAGATCTACTGCGTTTTGCTCTACACCATCGGAAGCAAAGGGGGATGGAGTTATAAGTAGGAGAGGAGAATCATTCCTGCGGCTCTCTAACTGTTTTACGGTTCTAAGCCCCCCTGACTTCACCGAGCAGCCCCCCAAGACCACGTCCCACACATCCCAAAGCATTAATCTAAAATAATTCATAGATTTTAAACAAAAAAAAACACTTTCTGTTTGTAATAGATGGACAAGATTAATATGAGATGAAAGGCGAGTTCCTAACGAGTTTAGGAAGCTAAGCTAGAGCTCTGTGAGACGTTCACAGCGATGGTTGTATACATTTTAATCAAGAGAGACATTTAGAAAATATGCAAATTTTCTCTAACACTAAACATACAAATATGTATTTTACAGTTACAAGGAAGGTGAAATCTTATAGTTAGTCATTTTATAATTAGATTTACTATATTTAGAAAGCATATACGTCATTTCAAGCCTTATTCATACAGCTTTGTTGAATAGGAAATACATAATATAAAATATTTCATATTTGTATCATATTTGTACTGTGTACTTAAGCTTGTGTCCTCAAAGTAACTACACTACCAATTTATAACTATTTTGACCAGAAAGGTAAGATTTTAACCTTTCTTGGTGTATGCAGCATTACTATTTATTGTTTATGGCCCTCTCATGATAAATAATTACTTTTGGGGATTACGTAGATTACATTTTTGATTACATTTAGTTACATTTAACTGGTTTAATGGCTACCGGCAAGTGGACTATCTTTTCTGGCCCTATTCCTACACACGGTGGTGAAGTTGATTGTTTCTCCTGGCTATTTTTGTTGGACTCTTGGATGAAGTTGAATCTCTGCCCCGAAAGAGCATTGGATTTTATTGACAATTTGGATTTATTTTGGGAACATCCTCAGTTCATTTCAGATGGTTTGCACTCGAACAGGAGAGGAGCTAGGATGCTGAGTGTTAGTATTGAAGAGGTACTACAAAAAAATGATGGTATATCAGTCCTTGCCCACAACAGGTAACCCTTATTGACTTGTCTTAATCCACATCCT